CTGTCCTTGCCTTGACTGCTGACATTAAGTATACAGCCCAATCCAGATAAGCAGGACACAAGGACAAGTGACTACCAAACTTTGTCAAGTCAAGGTAGGACAGCCCTTCAAATTTTCCTGCTTCTGAAAATGGTGTCATATATTGTAGGTCTATAAGCCAAAGTTAGATGCCCCAATGTTACAGAAAAACCTTGGGCAACTATCCAGGCAGCTAGTTATTTCTGTCATTTCTCACATTTTTGGAATTTGCTTGTTTGCACTTTCTGCATACTCAGGTAATATTGTTTTCCTTCTTATTTCAAGAGGGAAAAATAAGGGCACAGCCACAATCAAAGCAAAACAAACTTTCAACTGTCTAATATCTGGGATCCAGTCATGATCTTCTGGAGTCCTCCAAAAGAATTGTACACTTCTCTGACTCTACCCTCTGAAGCACACACAGTTTATCTTCACCAATGGTCTTTCCTGGCCTCTTATAGTGCCAAGCCTCAGCTGCTCTCCATGACCCCTTTAGGCCTTCAACACCCCCTGGGTGATGCTTAGACATTACTAAGTCTTGCTGCCAGAAGGAGGTACAACCATGGCTGCGTCTGGAACAGTTTCTCTGTACTCCCAGGAAACACTTCCTAGAAGATTTTACCTCAGTGATCCTGGTCTTTTCTTAACCACTAGTAATTTCTCAGCTCCAGCTGACCAGCACCAAGTATCCCAGCAAAGCAAAATTTTGCTTTAGTATTTCTGTTATCTTGTTAATCACAGTTGATTTCCCAGTCCCCGCTAACCAGAACCACAGGATCTTAATTCAAAATAACAAAAGACCCTGATAGAGCTTTTAAACTTCCCTTTGAAATTTCAAAAGCTTGGCCTCCATCTTCTGTACTGCTCTTAACATTCTTTTTTTAATTAATTATTTTTTTTAAAAAACCTCTTTTCTCATTTTACATACCAATCCCAGTTGCCACTCCCTCCCCACCCCACATCCAAGCCTCAGAGAGGGTAAAGGCTTCCCATGGAAAGTCACAAATCTAGCACATTGCTTTGAGGCACTCCCCACTATATCTAGGCTAAGCAAGGTATCCCTCCAAAGAGAATGGGTTCCAAAAAGTCAGTACAAGCAGTAGGGATAAATCTTGGTCAAGAGCAAAGAAGTCAAGACCATGATGGCTCACTGAAATAGCTTACCTGCACTACTGGGAGTCCACCAACTCCAGACTGACAGCAAGGGAACCAGCATAGGACCAAACTTGGCCCTCTGAATGCAGATGACAGTTGTGTGGCTGGGGCAGACTGTGGGGCCAATGACAGTGAGACCAGGATTTATCCCTACTGCTTGTACTGGCTCTTAACATTCTTAACATCTAAGCTCCTAAAGAACTATCCCATAGAGCTCCTAACACTCAATGGTTCTTCTAGTCCGCAGTTCCAAAGTTCTACAATCCCTCCCAAAACAGGGTCTGTCACAGCAATACCCCACTATGCTAGTACACATCATCACTGTTGGGATATTAAACACCAAAGAGACATACAAGTAGAATAGCATCTGAATATACACACAAAAACAACAATTTCATACATACACCTGTCATGTTCAGCACGCTATAGTGTGTTTAAATGTTTAGTATTAGGAATCAGGTATTACTTAGTATTAAGATCCAAGATATAAGTCTCTTCCGCATATTTCTAAAATGTTGTTCCAACTTGTCCATGTGTTTCGATATGCATTTTTATAACCATGATTCAAGGAAATCAGATGGATCTCAGAAATAAGAGCCTACATGACACATAAACCCTGAATCGGCAATCTATAAGGATGCAGCCTATCCTCTATAGAAGTTGGGCATCAATATTATTTTTGGTCATGTGTTACATGGAAATGTCTTCAAAATTACATGTCATAAGTGTATGTGGGATATTTGCCGCCACTCCCCTCCCCCAATCTGGAGAGAGCAGAATAGAAGTAAGTGCTACAGGAGATGTGGAAGTATAGAATTATATTGTATAGTTATAGTCATAAAGAGAGTCTGGTATGGGAATAAACATAGACAGGAGGGTAACAGAATGGGATCGAGAATCCAGAAAGCCATTAATCCATGCCCATTTAATATTTGGCAAAGAAGGAAAAGATACACTAGAAAAATATGGTCTTTCCAACAAATGATGCTTGCAAAACTAGAACCAGCAGGAGAGTATAATTAGATTCTCGGTCTTTCACATTGTACAAAAATTCATTCAAAATGGACCAAAAACCTAATTTAAAACCAGACACAAAGAATCCTAGGAAACAGGGAATACAAATCAGGATATTCAGATGGACAAGGACTTATAAATTAGGAAGAACACCAAGAGTACAGGAACTAAGCCAAGTATCAACAGCTGGAACTACATGAAAATAAAGAGTTTCTGTTTATCAATGAAAACAATCAGCAGAGCACAAAAGACACCCCACAGAATGGGAGAGAATCTATACCAGCAACACTTTGAATACAGGCTCCTATATGGATTTTACCAAGAATTACAAAAGTTAAATACCACAGACATAAAACTTCCAGTCAACAAATGGGGAAACAAATTGAATAGACATTTTTTCAAAGACAGAAACACAAATGATCCTAGGGTCGCTAAACTACCACCAGAGAAAAGTAAACAAAAACTACTTTGAAATACTGCTTCACTCCAGGCAGAATGGCTGTGATCAACTAATCTCACAACAAACGTTAGAGAGGATGAGCAGACAGTGTAATTAACTGAGTACCAAGCCCAAACCAAATGAGAGAATGACCACCAGATGACCACCAGATGGTACGACCTCAAGAGTTTATTATCTGATGGACTCTGGAGAGAGATACACTCCATCTGCAGAGAACATCTGTCTTTTCTGTAAATTTTGTTTCTGGGCAAGCAAGAGCAATGAGGCAGAGGAGTTAGCTTGAGCTGCATCACAAAACTGTTTAAAATAACAGACATGACTCCAGCTGTGACACAGATTGAGCAGTTTTATATGTAATCCCTTTCCTGTGTGAGCCAGTTTGAAGGACTTTGGATGCTAGCACCTTCTTTACAACACACTGAACCTAGGTAAAGAACAATTCAACCTTGGGTTGATTTCCTTTCTTTTAGAGAAGACATTTTTCTCCTAGTTCACATCAATAGAAGTTTTATTCATTGTTGGTGTAAGGGGGAGGGTGGTGCAAATTAGCACACTCAAATAAAATCAGTTTGAAGGTTATTAACAAATTAAAGATAGAACTAACTTAAGTCTCAGCTTCACATCCCACCATAAAGATATTCACACCCCATGGTCAATGCTGTATGCACAATACCAAAGAATTGTAATCAACCTAATTGTCTATCCACAGATGAACGGACGGTGAAAATGGTAATACTGGTCAGCTGAAATGTATAATAAAAATTTGCAGGAAAACATGGATTCATAATGTTTAGAGTGACATCATATAGTATTAGAAAAAAGAAACCATGTTTTCCTTCGTATGTAGAATCTAGCCATTAATATGTGTATTTGGGAGACAACATGCACGTGGGCAGAGTAGAATATGGAGAAAAGAGAACAAGAAAGGTAAAATACCAGTGTTGATCTAAGACTGAAAAGCAGATAATCAAAATCAGTTAGGAAACAAGATATAAAGCTAAGTGTTTTTCTAGCTCTAATGTCACAAGTTTTTTTTGGTTTCTGATGGTAGATAAATAGATCAAAATATACTGAATATTGAGACTATAAAATCCCATGTGAGGCTCCAGAGCTTCTGTTCCTGATAATAACTCTAACTGTATAAAAATACATTGAGGTGTAAAGTCTTTGAGCCTGGTAAATTTCAGCATGTAATTTTGTTTGTTCACAATGTTTTTCATAATAAAGTTAAAAAAAATCAGTAGCAGAAAATTAAAAGTTTTCAATGTCCCATGCTATAACATTTCTACCAAGAACAGGGGACATGACCACTGACCTGGAACAGATTAACTGGAGAATCAGCCATTTCTTTCAGTTTATCTTCTGTGAGTTTCTCTTTCAGGAACAATGAATAGATGGCTTGCTGACCTTTCATATTAAGGGATCAAAAAGAAAAAGCAAAAATTAGTAATAAAAGCTGTAAGAGAAGAATGTTAAACCACATGAAAAGACCCAAGCCACAGAATTCTACCAGGTGTCTATTCAATATTCCCAAAGCCAGGAAAACATGGAACAACATTTGCAGCTTGAACAGAAAATCACCATCAACAAGACTGCTGCACAAAGAAAAATGCTACCTCAAAATTGATGGAGACATGAGTGCATTTTAAGACAGTTACGAATTAACACAGCTCATTTTACAAAAGCATCACTGTAGATAATAAATTAGAGGCAAAACATATACAGGAGAGTCAGATGAATTATCCATAAGAACACGGGAAATAACTTTCATGTGAAGAATAGATAAATACAGGAGCACTGGAAAGTAATCATCCATGGGTAAGATAGCAAATCACTAATTCTCAGAAAAATAGAAAGAAAATCACTCCCAATATAATCCAAGCAGCAACAAAATAAAAAACAAAACCATAGGGAAGAAGAACCCTAAAAAGAAACAAAAAAATCTAGCCACTCTGGAAACCAATATGGAGAATCCTGAAAAAGTTAAGAAAATCTAGCACATGAACAGGCTGTACCACTCCTTGGCATATGCTCAAAGGGCTTGACATGCTACTCCACAGATACTTGCTCACCCATTTTCATTGCTGCTCTACTCACAGTAGCTACAAAAGGGAGACAACCTAAATGGATGATGGAAACGTGATACACATAACCTTTGGAATATTGTTCAGGGATAAAGAAAATCGAAAGCATGAGCTTTGCAGGTAAATGGCTGAGCCTAGATAAGATCAGATTGAATGGAGTAACCCAGACAAAAAAAGGCAGTTCTTTTTTTGCATGATCTTTCCCATAGGCAGTTACTAAGTCCACACCCTCAGATGTGAGTACAACCTGTAGAATGCAGTAAAAAAAATGAACAACCACTGTGGGGGTTGGAAGAGTAGTAGGAAACAGGTGATCTAAAGAGGGAAATGGAAAATCGGATTTAATTATGGTGAAGGGACCGATATTAACAAAGAAGAAGGAGGATAAAATAACAGTAAGATTTTGGAAAAAGTCATAAGGCATAACAGTATCGTCCATCTACCAAAAATGACTATAAGAAATTTAAGTCTGTTCAGGCATATACATTCATGGTGTAAACAAAAATTTCCCATCTAGGCTGATAATGCTCCCCTAAGATATTTCCTAGCAAAACCACCCCCCCAAGGCATGAGAAGCCTGTTTTGAAGTTTTTATTCACAGCTCTTGCTGTTATCATGGTTACCTCCCTGAGGTAGAAGGTGATTCCCTTATTACTGAAGAAGTCAGGCACTTCAGACATAGAACCCAAAGGATGTGAGATGGAACTCACCTTAAAACCTCCTTCCTGGGGATCAGCTTTTATGGTATCAGATGGCAACATGCAAGCTTTCAAAGTAGAGAGCCAACCAACAGTCCTCCTCAGCTATGACACCTATGAACCACACTGCACGACAACCCCAAAGATGCACAAGTGATACACATACCTTGGTGGTAAACAACAGCTTCTAGTTACACTTAAGACCCTCTCAACAAGGGAGAAGTCATGCCTGCCGGAAACCTAGCTAGTTTCACTAGTGCCAGGGGAGCCAAAGATCTTTTTTTTTTAAATTAATTTATTTATTTATTTAAGATTTCTGTCTCTTCCCCACCGCCGCCTCCCCTTTCCCTCCCCCTCCCCCAATCAGGCCCCCCTCCCTCGTCAGCCCAAAGAGCAATCAGGGTTCTCTGCCCTGTGGGAAGTCCAAAGACCACCCTCCTCCATCCAGGTCTAGTGAGGTGAGCATCCAAACTGCCTAGGCTCCCACAAAGCCAATACGTGCAGTAGGATCAAAAACCCATTGCCATTGTTCTTGAGGTCTCAGTAGTCCTCATTGTCCGCTATGTTCAGCAAGACCGGTTTTAACCCAGGCTTTTTCAGACCCAGGCCAGCTGG